AGCAGCTGCTGAAGGGGCGCCGCCTGCGGCAGGTGCTCCGAGGGCAGGCCGTTGAGACCGTAGCGCGGTAGCTCACGGCACACGCTCACCGAGGCGGAACCCTTGTCGTCCGAGTCGGAGGGTACCGAGCGGTCCTTGTTCTGTTGGGCGGCGATGGCCCGGAGCGCGGCGACGGACTCCGCCTGGCAGTCGGCGCCCGCTCCCGCCGCCGGCAGAAGCTTGATGCACCTTCTCTGCAACGGCGGAAGCCAGCAATAAAGCATGGTGATCCATGGCTCCTGAGCGGATCCCGGCACGGAAGCTGAAGGATCTCACGGGCGACGAACTTGAAGTGCCACGAGGACAACCGCGACCCTCAACGGCTCTTGCTCCGAGACGCCCTGCGGGCTAAAGGCACGGAGCAGGTCTTCGGAGTTCATGCTGGGCCGGGCGCCGGAGGCGACGCTATAGCCGCGCGGCTGGGCGGCCTTCCTCCAGAGGCTGCCCCTCGCAGCTCGTCGAGGAAGGGCGCGCCCCCCTGCTGGAGCGGCGGCTGCGGGGCTGCGGCCCTCGCGGCGCCGCCGCGAGCGGGAGCGCCGGCTGCCATCCCGCCGGGCGGAGGGGCTCCCGGCCATCGCGCGCGCGGGGGGGGGGGGCTCAGGCTGCAATGGTCCCGCCGAGATCAACTGCCCTGGTGTACTGTGTACTTCTCTCCTGTCTGACAACGTCTGATGTATCTCGATATAGATGTACAAGGGGTCAGGCAGTGTAGTGCGATGCTGATCGCACGCCGGTCCTGGAAGGGAGCTGCTTTTCGACATTGCGGGCCAGCTCGCAATCCTGCGCCTCTCCGGGCGCACGCCAGAAGTCCAGCGACACTCGGTCGCTGCAAGGCTCAAGCCAAGACGGTCTCGGCAGGAACGTCTTGGGAAGCGTGTGAAACGCTTCTTCTGAGCCTCTGGGGCCTGGGGCCCGTCGAGGGCCCTCGGGGAGACCACTAAGCATGGCTAGGCTGCAAATAGAGTGTAGGACACTTTTTGTTTGATATGCGGGGCGAGAGCGAACCTCCTCCGATGAGATGCTAAGCGGGCCGCGCACAGCATACATTCGGGAGGGAGGGGAAAAGAAGGCGGGACCTCGTCGAGGCCGAGAGAGGGCGAAGCCCTGGGACCAGGCGGTGCCGAAGAAACACGATGCGCCGCGGAACGCAGACTTACATGAAACGGGGCTCCCGTGGAGCCTGGGAGAGCACGCCCGGCCTCGAGAGGCCGCCCGTCGTAAGCAGGCTCCGGTCAGGCAGGCCCTGGGCGGCGAGCTGCACAGGCAGGCGGGGCCGGGCAGCAGCGAAGGGTGAGGCCCTGCGGGCAAACATCCGCCACGCGCAGAGGGGGGGGGGTCGGGGGGAGGGGGGAGGGCTTCTTAGAAGCACCCCATGGTTCCGAGAAGCAGCCTCCTTCTAAGAAGCCCTCCCTCCTCCCTCCACGCCCTTCTGAGAAGCAGCCTCCTCTGAGAAGCAGCCTCCTTCTAAGAAGCAGCCTCCTTCAGATTCTAAGAAGCCGCCACCAGAAGGAGCCCGCACTGAGCTCTGGCATCGTTCCACGAGCGCCTCGGGCTCCGACGCCCAGCCCCCGGCCTGTGCCCAAGGGGAGGGCGGGTGGGGAAATCGGGGGACGAAGCCCCGAGCCCCTGCAACTGTAGGGGCCCTACGGGCCCGACAGCTGCACGCGGGCGCGCGCGCGCGCGTGGCAATCAGAGGGGACAGGAGCATCCAGTTGCGCATTTCTCCCAACCGACGTCCTTACCAGCCAGAGGCGACAACCACGTGAGACGAGCGATCAGAATCACCCGAACGAGCGACCACCTCGAACGAACGTTCCGGGACACTGAACAAGTTTGCGTTTGCGGAAAAAGAGGGTACGACGCTGGCTGGCGGACGCCGCGCTCCGTCCGACGGGCGCGAAGGCGTGCTCAGCTGAATGATGGGTCGCCAGGCGACTCCCCTGATGCCCGAAAGTCCGCCGAACTCCCACCAAGGGATCTCGAAGCGCAGCGGCAGGCACAGTCCAGATATGTAGGACGATCGAGGCTGCAAGGTTGTGAAGCAGCACGGGGTGCACGTACAAGCAGCATTTCTCTCGTGTCGCTAGCCGCGACCGCCGAACTAAATAAGTAAAAAAAAGATGGGGGGCTCCCCAAGGAGCCGTGCCCAGTGGATATCAGGGTCCTTGACCAAGAGCGGTCTCGAGCCCGCGATGCGCCACTCATCAAGGCGGCCCTCATCGGCAGGATGAAAACGCGAAAGAAAAAGGCGTCGATTTCGAGCGGCCCGCTCGGACATCTCATGATTACTATTCGCTGGGCTATCGTCGGCAAGAGGGTACCCAGCTGCGCCCGTGAAAAAAAAAACAGGAAACGCATAGGAGGCACTGCCCCGAAGAGACCCAGAGACGGTGGACCCTCGAGGCCTCAGCATGGATGATCCCAGAGCTCGGAAGGGTCATGGCTGGGACAGTGGTCGCGGCAAGGTTGGGCCTGCTGTTCACACCCATGCCGCCAGTGCGCCTTCGCATGTCGGGCACAAAAGCAGGCCCGACCCGATCGGTGCTGGAAGAGGCCGCGGCGGCAGCAGGCAGCGCGGCGCCCGCAGGGGCCCGCACCAGCACCGGGTTCAAAGGACACGCGTTGCCGAACGGAGCGAACCCCGGAGGAGTCGACCGAGTCGGAGTGGCCGGGGCCCCGAGGGCGACGGCCAGGCCAGGCCCCAGCGAGGCCATCCGCAGGGACCGAGGCGAGGGCGGAGAGAGCGATCTGCACCGACGAGGGGAGGGGCAGCACGACAGCAGGCACCGCCACCTGTCCTCGAGCGAGGATCGGGCCCCCCACCTGTCCCAGCGCCGACGGTGTCCTGGCGACCGAGGTCGTCCGCCACGTCCTCAGCATCCTCCCCGCCGCGTGGCGGAGCGGAGGCGCGCTCGCGCTGTCAATGCTCTGGCCTCCCAGGGCTTTGCAGCGTCGTCCGCACCTCGCTTCTGCATGTCCGAGCTCCGTAGCTGCCTGCACGCCCTCCTGTGCTCAGCTGCGCAATTGTTTTTGTTGCAGACGTTGCGCACGCCTGACGAAAGCTTGAGAGGCCCTTTCCAAGCGCAGGCGTCGGGAGAAGCCTCGACTCCAGCCGCAGAGAGGTCGCCCCATTCCGCCGCAGACGAGTGGCCATCGTCGCCAGCCCTCGGAGCCAGGATGCCCGTCGGGAAGGGCGGCGGCGGCACGCATGCGGGCAAGGCAGCTCCAAAGACGAGCGCGAGGCTTCTCAGTCCTGGAGCCATTCGTGCAAGAATTACTCCTCCTCATCATCATCCTCCTTCTCCTCCTCCTTCCTCCTCCTCCTCATTCCTCCTCCTCTTCCTCCTCCTTCTCCTCCTCATTTCTCCTTCTCCTCCTCCTCCTCCTCCTCCTCCTCCTCCTCCTCCTCTTCCTCCTCCTCCGTAATCCTCCTCCTTCCTCCTCCTCATTCCTCATCCTCCTCTGCTTCCTCCTCCTCCGTAATCCTCCTCCTTCCTCCTCCTCCTCCTCATTCCTCATCCTCCTCCGCTTCCTCATCCTCCGTAATCCTCCTCCTTCCTCCTCCTCCTCCTCCTCCTCATTCCTCATCCTCCTCCGCTTCCTCATCCTCCTTCCTCCGCCTCTTCCTCCAAATCGCACGGCCACCCACATGTGAGAAGAAGCTCGGCAGAGCTCCGACTGGGTTCCGCACCGAGCGGGGCCGTCAAGGGCCCACGGCAGGCCTGGACACGAGGCCGAGTGTCGACGTGCGACCCGTCAGCAAAGAGAGAACACGCATGAAACATCCACTGTGCCACGACAATAGAACTGCGGCGGGCTATACCCATTGCGGTGCGATGGGCTTTGGGAACAGCGCGCGCACCCCTGCCGTTCCGAGCACCCAAATCAGCCCACCGATGGAGGTGACTTGCTAATGGGCTTCTGCGAGCCCAACGCACAAACTATTGCTGAGCCCCCCGAGGTATTGGAATTTTGTCTAGGTGGCCTCCCAGAGGTCCACATTGGTACGGCGAGGGGCCGAACACCAGGCAGGCCCTCGATGAAGGCCGTCCGCCAAACCTTAAGCCCGTGCAGACCACAACGGGAGGGACACAAACCTGGAAGACTTGGAGGGAAGCGTAAAGCTCAGCCCGTTGCGACGATTGTACGGTCCCAGGCAAGGCCTCGTGAACTAAGATGTCTACTCCGCGTCCCAGAGGTTCCTGAACCTGAGCGAAGCCCCACCAAGCACGCGAGGATTTAGGCCAGTACCACATCCTGCGACAAACACCATCTGTTCATGTGCATATACACATTTACGACCTGCATAGGTTTCCAGATTGGACATGCCACTTACCACTGTCGTCTCTCTGAGGTAGAGGAGGGAAGCACGGCCTGCCGATTAAGCCCCGAGACCACGCGAGTGCACCAGCTTGCTGCTGAGGAGAACCGCGGAGATCGATTCCACGAAGATGCTGCTCACGCGCAGCGCCATGATGAGGGCATTCGCATCAAATGTGGAAGGTGTTGCATACAGGGTGACCACACCGCGGGCAACTGCAGTCGTCACGATAACTACCTGGCGAGTCGATCTGGTGTCCAGAGCCCACACACACACTTTTTGCGTCGGCGGCTAGGCAGAGTGACTGCGCTGGCGGAAAAGCAGTGGTAGGACATACGAACGCGAATTAAGCCGAAATGCACGGGGGAGAGAGGAGGAACGCCCGTCGGTGGCGGGAGGGAGACGGAAGCTGGGCCCGCGCAGAGCGCCCCCCCACACCCACACACACACACACACACAATAGTGCGGAGAAGTCCCGCTGCACGAAAATCAGGTTCCCAAGACCTAGCACCAGGAGGAAAAGGAAGAAGAGGACAAGGAGGAGGAGGAGGAGGAGGAGGACGACGAGGACGACGAGGAGCAGGAGGGCGAGGGGAAGGAGGAGGGGTGGAAGCGGAAGCGGCGGCGGCCAACCCCGCAGGACCCCAGGTCGGCCGTCAGGCGGCCCAGGCCTGGGCGCAGCCGCGCGCCATCGGGCCGCACGGCAGGGGGCCAGGCGCTGCGGCGCCGGCGCTGCCGCCGCCGCCGGCCAGGCTGCCCGTGGCACGCGGCCACTGAGGCACGAGGGGCAGAAGTCCGAGGCTGGACCAGGGGCAACGTTATGGGTCGGGCTCGTGTTCTGTGGTTCCAATAGGGACCTCCGGGAAAGGTATGTTTGAGACGGACGATGCCGATTCCTCAAGTCCGCTCGGCTTCGCCCACGAGGTCGCCGCATGACGCTCTCACTCGCACTTGCCGAAGTCTCGGATGCAGCGTCTCAGAAGTCCTTTTCGCTGGCGTCCCGTTTTAGGAAACACATCATCGTGGCAATGGGGGGTGACCCACATGGGGGGTGAAGGAAAAGCTTTTCAAAGGCCCTCTGGGGCCCATCAAAGGGGCCCCTTCAAGGTCCTTTTCTTCACCCCCCATGTGGGTCACCCCCCATTGCCACCCGCCCGAACGGGGGGGAGGAGGCCGAAAGTCTTGGCGGCGTTCCTAGAGTTCCCGAAGCCCCGGGCAGTCCAGCAGCTGCGCCTCGTCGAGGGCGTTCCAGGGGTGCTGGTGTCGTCCCGAACGGCCGTTGGAACGCCGAGTTCTGACCCAAACACCAGTGGGCAACGAGAGGGGGGAATCGGCTCAAGTCGGGCCTGTCCCCCTAGAGGGGGATTTCCAGCGAAACATAGAAAGATACCCCTAACACAATCAAAAAACAGTCTGGGTATTTTTTGGGGGGTATTTGTTGGCCTTTTGGGGGCATGTTTGAAGTATCTTTCATTTTTCGTCGCAAATCCCCCTGCAGGGGGACACGCCCGACATAAGAATAGGCTCAGGGAGGGATGCATCAACCTCCTATCGCACGCTGATCGTTGCCAGGGGCCCAGTAGCCCACCCCGCCCCAGAAGGTGCGGCTCTGTTACCAGGGACACATGGCATGGCGGGCGGCCGCCGAGGCACGACAGACACCCAGACATGCTCGCGTTGTGGAAAAATCACGATGGCAGTTCTTGACCCCATAGAATTCTTCAGTCGCCCTGAGACGTCCTCAGGGATTCGTCAGGATCCCCGCGGGTTCCTCAGGGATCCCTCCGGAGTCCGGAGGAATCCTCGCGGTTTCCTCTGGACCCCTGAGGACTCCCCACGGATTCCCCAGGTGCCGCGAGAACTCTTCAGGAGTGCTCGGGGGCCCTCAGGCGGGGATCCGCCGGGCCCCGGGACCGTCAAAAAACGACTCACGATGAAAATCCGGCCCTGTTGGAGAAAGAGCTTCCGGAGGCCCTGACGGTGCCGCCGCCGCCGCCGGTCAGGCTGCCCATGGCGCGCGACCACCGAGGCACGAGGGACAAAAGTCCGAGACCGGACTATATGGGGCGCTCCAGAGAGGGGGTCGTCTTCAAGGGGTCGAAAGGGCTACCATGTTTCTTTCGCAGAAGGTGACGGAAGGTCGGCGGAAGGTCGGCAAAACGACGGCCGCTCCGCAGGCGCAGATGCGCCCTAAAAAGATGGCAATTGCCTGGGACCCAGGCTTTCCAGAACCCGCCAAATCAGCGACGAAGGAAAACGGCTTCGCGCGTAAGACCCCCTTTCCTTGCGTCGCTCATACGTTGCCGCGCCGTTTGTTCCGACGCGCGGCCTCGCGTCTTGGGGAGGGCGCTCCGGCCACCAGGACAAACGCCGCCTCGGGCGCGGTGGGCTCGCCGTGGGTTTGCCGCGGCGCCGGTTTCGTTTACGTGGGCGCGGGACGCAGGGCTTGTCGTGGGTTGACGGGCACTCCTCCTCCTCCTCACTCCTCCTCCTCCTCCTCCTCCTCCTCCTCCTCCTCCTCCTCCTCCTCCTCCTCCTCCTCCTCCTCCTCCTCCTCCTCTTTGGAGACGGGTTGACGGCGGTGTCGGTGCGTTGGGCGCGTCGAGCACAAAGGGCGCGGCGTCGTGTGCCCGCGCACGGAGTTGTGCAGACTCACCGCCCCGGGAGACGACGTCCCAGGTTTCCAGGAGGCTGTGGATATGGGCAGGTTGGGGCCTTGGTGGGCCCAGGGGTCTCCATGTTAACGTCCCCCCGTTGGTTCCTGGAAGATCGGCGCTCCAGGCGGTGGAAATGCCGCCGGCCATGATTTGCGCCCTCCCCCCCCCTCTTGGACGCTCTCCTCTTGGCCGCCCCCGATAGAATCAGTGACTTCGGTGTTTTTTCACCCTGTTCGAGGCCCTTTCTTGTATTGGTGGTTGTTCCTCTGGGCGGCATCTTGGGCCGTCTTGAGGGCTCAGGAAAGCGGGGTGTGCACGATCCTTGAGCGGGTGACCGTGGGACCAGAGGTTCAGGACTTAGCAGCCCATCCAAAAACCCAGAGCAAACCTATGTTTTGCGTTTCTTCTAAGCCTATGTGGGTCCCTCTTGTGGCACTTGTGGTTCCTCTTGTAGGAATATTCGGCCGTCTTGAAGGCTCACCAATGCGTGAAGCGCACGGTTCTCGAGCGGGTGCGCGTGGTATGAGCGGCCCAATAGTAAGCAGCCAAGCGGGAAGGGCACAATCTTAGAGCGGGCGCGCATGGATTTGTCGGAACTTGTTCGGGGTCTTCCTGTGGCAGTTTAAGGCCCTCTCGGAGGCATCTTGGGCCGTCTTGAAGGTTGGAAGCACACGATTCTCGAACGGGTGCGCGTGGGATGAGTGGTCTTGGAGTTAGCAGCCATGTGGGAAGTGCACAATCTTAGAGCGTGCGCGCATAGAGTGAGGTTTCTGGTATGGGCTGCCACGCGGGAAATGCACCATCCTCGAGCGGAGGCGCGTGGAATGGGGGATTAGGCATTCGCTGCGACGCTGGAAGCGCACCATCCTCGTGCGGGCACGAGGGAAGTGGCCTCGGTGCACGCAGGACTCTGCGGCCGAGAGCGGGGGGTCCCTCTTCAGAGTTCAACAAATCCTACCAGGCGGCCCTTGGCATTCTTCCATTCCTCAACATGCCAGGGGGCACGGTGGCGGATGCAATACACCGCTACGGCGACGGTGAAATGACAAGGATGCAAGTCGAAAGTCCGTCAACATGGAATTTACCATGGCCAGGAAATTCGCCTGGAACGGAATGGACACGCAACGGATGGGATATGGTTGGCAAAGCCCCCAGGATGCCAGCACCATTCGACAACCTAAGCATAGTCAATGGTGCTGGCGTTTTCGCAGTTCGCCTCCGATCGCCTCTTGTTGCTTGAAGATATTTCCGAGAAGATCGCTCAAGACAAGATGGCGACACGTGGAGCCCAACATGGCTCCACGAGGGTTCCGGTGCTCTCCCAGGGCGCCTTCAGAGGGCTTCGAAAGGGTTCCAAGAGGGCCCAAGAGCAAGGACCACTGGGAGGCAGGCCCCAAGATGGTTCCACACCAGCCCCAAGAGGCCCAAATATAGCCACAACGTGGCACGGTCTTGTCCACGGCCCCCCAGTCACGCCAATGCTTGTCAAATCTTGCAGATGTGCTTGAATCGAATATAGGACGTGGCACGATCTTTTCCACGGGCCCCCCAATCACGCCAACACCTGTCAAATCTTGCAGATGTCCCTCAATCGAATATAGCCACGACGTGGCACGATCCTGTCCACGACCCCCCGATCACTCCAACACCTGTCAAATCTTGCAGATGTGCTTGAATATGTCTGGATTTCAAGCCGTTTCGTTTCCGACGGCCTCGTGGGGTTTCAGATCGGGCTCCACGGTCGTCCAGGATTGCCCCAACGGGCCCAAGAGGACCCCTCCAAACAAACAAAAAAAGAAGCTCACCCAGGATGCAAGGTAAAGGAGGATAGGAGATGAGAGCAGAAGAGGGGAATGGGGAATGAGGAGATGTTCCGGGAACGTGCGAAGGAGAAGGGCACGAAGAGGAGGGAGGAGGAAGAGGATGAAGGCAGGATACGTTCATGGGGTAGGGAAGGAAGCGGGATGGCAAAGACCGGGAAGACGGATGAGGACGAGGAGGCAAGTTTCTGCGTTGGTGAGGTGAAGTCTGAAGAAGGCGGCCGCAAGCAAATTGTCAACCATGGTAAAAGTTTCGGGTCTGCATGTGGGAGGAGGCACGAGGCTAACTTCATCTCGCTGGGGCACACATTAATCACAATCATACGAAACAGTCGGAGGTGTGAGGGGAACATCGCATGAGGAAACAGGATGCTTAATGATGGTGGGAGAGAAGTGAGGACGAGGACAATGTTGCGAATGAGGAGGATGAGAAGGGGAGAGGAGGGAGGAAGCCTTTAGCACGCCTGTTTCACAGGTTTCCTGGAAACGTGTCACGTAATGCTCTCGGAGGCATCTCGGAAGATTGCCAGAAGCCGTTCGGAAACGTCGCGGGCCTCTCGGACGCCTCCTTGAAGCCTTTTTTTCTTTCGGAAGCCTCTCAGGATCCTCTCGGATGTTTTCGGGAGCGCTTCGGAATCAGATTCTGAAGATGTCCGCAAGCGAAACCAGATGGCATGCGGAAGCGTCTCGGAAGCTAGTCAGAAGCCCCCCAGATGCAGATCAGGCCTCTCGGCAGCTGTTCGGAAGCCTCCCGGAAACTTTGTCTGGAGCCTCTCGGAAGCCTCCCAGAAGTTGCCTTGCCGAAGCCATTCAGAAGGCCATCGGGAATATACCAACAAAAAGAGAGCCAAGCAATTTTACTTATCCTTCCAGAAGCCGCCCACATGTTTTGCACACGCCTTCCGATACCGTCTCAGGCACCTTCCAGAAGTTTGTTCGGAAGCCTCCCATGTGCCTCCCGGAAACTCAGCATATGTCTCCCAGGAATATCTCAACAGTCTCAGAGACTCAAAGAAGTCTCAAGTCTCCCAGAGGCTTCCCGGGAGCCCATTGGGAGCTCAGCAGGAGCACGTCAGAAGCTCATCAGGAGCGCAAGAGACATGTTTCTTGGCCGTGGAATTTGTCATATGGAATCACGTTGCTTCTGGCACGCGTGAGAAGTAAGCTATTCTGGTTGAAACTGATTGTGCTGCCTGCAACGACCAAAAAAAAACCTTCCCCCCCTTGGCCCCGTAGGCCTCCGGGGCCCGTTATCGGACCGCGGGGCCATCAAACATGGACCGCGGGGCCGAAGATTTGG